TCCGTGGCTCCCCCTTCCCGCTGGTCCCCCTCTTCACTGTCAGAATGCGGAAGTGGTGTATATTACATCACTTCCACATTCTTGTGTCACTCTCCAGCTTCAGATGCTGGAGAGAAGCTGATGAAGCAGATCTCTGCTTCATCAGCTTCTTCAGGGGAGTCCTAGGTGACATTAGGGGTCTCCATAAAGAGGACCTGTCACATCTTTTGCTATCACATAGGGGGGTTTTCTCAGCCCCCTATGTGATAGCAATAAAGTTAAGTGAAAAAAATAAATAGGAAAAAAATAATGAAAGTTTCCCCAAAAAAAATTAAAAATTACAAATAAAAAAAGAATTCCAAATTTTTTTTTTTTAAAGTCCCCCCCCCATACATACACGCATGCAAACAGGCGTCGGGCGCGCATATGTGCGAAAACGACGATTGCGCCCATTACGCCGCACATGTTACATATCGTCGCGAACGCCAGTATGAAATAATTCTAGGGCCATTAATCACTGATAACACTAAACTGATGAGCGGTAAAAGCTTTTAAAGCGTCGCCTATGGCCAATTTTGGGTACGGTAGTTTTTTGCGATTTTGCGGGTGCGCGCAATTTTAAAGCTTGACATGTTTGGTGTCTATTTACCCGACGTGACCCCGACTTTTTTATTTTAACAAAAATATGGGTAATAATCATTGTTTCCTAATTTTTCCTTAATATAGTAAAAATAAGAACCCCAGTGGTGATTAAATACAACCAAAAGAAAGCTCTATCTGTCCCCCAAAAATGGTATAAAATTCATTTCAGTACAGCGTTGCATGACGGAATAAACGTCAGTCAAAGTACCGCAGCGCTGAATACTGAAAAATGGCCTGGCCAGGAAGGGGGTCTAAACACCTGGTCTTCAAGTGGTTAAACTCTCCTGCATGTGCACAGGCATGCCACAGTTCTGTGCAAGGTTGGGGGGGATCCTTACGTCACCCAGCAAAGGAATTAGGAAGCGGAGGGCCGCACAACAAAAAAAAACTTTTAGAAAAATGTTCAAACTATCTGCTAGCTTGAACATTTTAGGTGGGATGAAGCACATGAGAGAAACTTCACTTAGTGCTAGTTCACACCAGAACTGCATCACAACTCCGTGCGTCTGCGAAGCTGCAGTGCGATGCGTTTTACCGCGATTTTGACACTCTTTTAGGTGCAGTCCAGTGAGTTCTAGTGCGTTTTCACGCGTTTTATTGTGATCAAGTGCAGCTAAAGAGACCAGCAGTATTTTTTCTGACTGCATCGGAATGGACTGTACTGGTGTGCAGAGCACCAGAAATTTCCGTTGGAAAGCATTGTGACAGGATTTTGATGCAGCTGCCAAACTGAACGGATTGTATCACAACCACATCTGGTGTGAACTAGCCCTTAGGGTTTAGAGATATGTTCAGCTTAAGGTCCACCTTTCATGAGAAAAATCTGGAGCTGCCAGTGAAACTGGTTGGCTGTTATGCACACTGGCTTATTTGTTTTCCTGGCTTGTTGGCCCAAAACAAGTATGAATTTCAGGAAAGCAGAAAAAAGTAATTGGTTCTAATCTGCTTTGTATTCCGGGTTAACAGTCAGCATGACAGCCAGGCAAAAACAATTTTCAGGAGATCTCAGTCGTGACAGGTTTCCTTTAAAATGAACCTATGCAATCCCCCTTCTTAGGAGAACAAACTCACCTTTTCTTCGCTGCCCTGCAACTGTACAAAATGTTTTGCACTCTTGTTACACATAGCAGACTGGTCAGCTTCTTCCCTGGCCATAGCACCAGAAGTTGACCACTGATCTCCTTCTGTTCTCCATGCTAACACACACCATGATGGTCCCGGGGGTTCTGAGTACCAGGAGGAACAGGGAAGCCTAGGACACATGGCAGGGGAAGGTCAGCCAGGGGGCTGGTGGCATCTTACCATACATGTAGAAGTCATCAGGCAACTTTCACTCTTACACTTTAACCTCACCACACAGTATTATGATATGCATGCGAATTGCAGTCATGTGACTGCGTGGAACCAACTGAAAACAAAATGGTATTAATCGATCTAATTTTAATATTTAATTATTGCAAACAGCTTCTAACTGTCACTTTTTCTGGACAGCTTTGCCAGTTAAAGGAAGTTGTAAAAAAAACAGACTTACTGGCTAGATCAACAGGTAATACAACTATGTTATGGGGGGACAAAAGAAAAAAACAAGCTCTGCTAGGTTAGGTTCACGCGGACTGCAAAGGAGCGATAAAAAAAAAAAAAAAAGCTTTGTTTTTACCACCAATGCCCCTTAAAGCGCCCACCTACACCATCTGCCAAATGTGCTTATTGAAGTCAATGGAACTGCGTCACAACCATTTGACGACTACCGTATTTCAATGTAATATCTTCCTTGGGATACATTCTTTAAAAATCAGGTATTCAGTATCTTGAATGCCTGAACACCACAACTCAACCACCCCTGAAAAGTGATACACCATGGAACGTTTTTCAGGGGGGTGGAAAACCCTGCCACCCATGTGAATGGAGCCATAATGCTATTGACAGACTGCCATTTTTAATTTTGCCCATATTTCCACTGTAACAGGCCAAAAGGCAGCAAATAGGAGAAGTTAGTTGCTTGGGTTTAATTACACTTTGATGGTTAGTAAGTCTTACTTTTTCAGCTGCCATAAATTACATTTGTGGGTGTGATACTTTTATGTTTTGGGTCGCATTATTTCATTTCTCAAATAAATTAGTGGCAAAGCCGAGTTGTCTAAATCATTTGACGCAGTCAAAAATTATTAGAAAAATTCAATATACAAAATGAATATATTTGACACTGAGGTAAGTACCCTACTGCCAAAAAACGCACAACCTGAAGTCCAACAAGATTTTTTGAAACTGCCAGCTGTAGGTACTGAACTTTCATATACACATCACTGACTTCGCTTGGTAGTCCATAGTCACACAATGTACACTTTCCAGCCAAAAAGCATATATTTCCAAAGAACACTGCAATTTAAAAAAAGTATGCTGATTTGCCAACGGTAGTTCCCTAACAGAAATGGCAAATAAGAGCCATTCATATCAGTCTGCATGTCACAACACTTCTTAAAAGTCAATCTTTCAAAAACTGAGCTCTTGATATTTCCTCCCGCCATGCACCTTCCCCCAACATTTCGGTTGAGATTGATAACACAACTATCCATCCCTCTCCCCATGCCAAGGTCCTAGGCGTCATCCTTGACTTGGGCCTTACCTTTCTGCCCCACATCCAATCACTATCCAAATCCTGTCACCTTCACCTTCGTAACATCTCCAAAATACACCCCTTCCTCACCAATGAAACCACAAAACTTCTCATCCACTCACTTTTTATCTCTCGTCTTGACTATTGCAACTCCCTCCTCATTGCCTTACCTCTACACAGGCTATCCCCCTTTAAGTCTATCATAAATGCTGCTGCTGGATTCATCCACCTAATTAACCACTCAGTGTCTGCAACCCCCCTCTGGCAATCCCTGCACTGGCTTCCTATAGCCCAAAGGATAACATTCTAAATATTAACAACCACTTACAAAGCCATTCACAACTCTGCCCCCGGCTATATCTCCAACCTTGTCTTAAAGTACCACCCTAACCGCCCCCTCCGCTCTTCCAAAGACCTCCCTCTTTCCAGCTCCCTCGTCAACTCCTCCCATGCTCACCTCCAGGACTTCTCTAGAACTCTTTATCCCAACCTGTTCATCTATCTCCTACTCTGACTGCCTTTAAGCAATCCCTAAAGACTCATCTCTTCATCTGGGTGCCTATCCCACCTCAACCTAACCACTCAACCATCTCCTTCTCAAACAATTCATCCCCACACAGCTACCTCCTTATGTATCACTTGCCCCTCCCTTTTAGATTGTAAGCCCTCAGGGGCAGGGTCCTCCTTACCATCTTGTATTGAATTGTATTGTGATTGTAATGCCTTCCTTATATTGTAAAGTGCTGCACAAACTGTTGGCGCTATATAAATCCTCTATAATAATATTGATGTAACAGAATGATTTACCAAAGTTGTTAGTGACACTTAAAAGTAGAACTGAAGCCAAAACTTTTATTTTAGTTTTGGATGTAAAGTAGAATTATAACCCGTCAGCTTTTTTTTTTTGCCATCTCTTTCCCATTGGTGAGATCTCTCTTCTCCTCCTGTCCCATAACCGCAACAGGAAGAAAGGAGGAATTCCCTCCAAAGCAAGGGAAATTCCCGGTGGCAGGGCCACCAGAACTAGTGCCTCCATTGGAAGATTTCTCATCTATTCCTGTTATGATGACAACCATACATTTGGGACAATGGTCACCAGGACATATAGAGAGGGTGAATCTCCCCATTGGGGACAGAGAAAGCAATAGACAGGGATTCTAATGTCTCCCCAATCTATCCAAAACTCAAAAGAGTTTTGGCTTAAGTTGCATTTTCAGTAGTGAGTGCCTAGCATAATATTTCGGAGCTACCAGTACAGGGAGTTCTTCTTTCTATACTTTCATATGTGACATACATGACAGAGATCTGTGAGCAGGCCAGGCTGAGAAGGAGAACATTGTTGAAATTATACATCACATGACCAGCAGAGCAGGAAGTCTGGGATGTCTTATCAATTCAGCATTCTTTTATGCCAACATGGAATGGGCAGTGGCCCCTAATATTCAGCTATATAATACAGGTAATATTTTCACACACTTAACCAACATCACAAATTATACTCTTCTCACATCCTAAACACCGAAAAAGTTTAATCACAAAATACCTAAGGACATATCAAATGTTTTGCTTGCCATCAACTCTGCCCTCATTCTAGATCAGGGTCACATGAGGCACTGCAAGCCTCTGACAGCCATAGGCATGACTCCCAGAGGCAGAGATATGGTGTAATTTGTAGTTTTGCGGTGCTGAGGTTACCTACCCCTCCTCTAGATCATGTATGGGTTCTACTTATGGTACTAGCTCATTCCTGCAACATATGCCTTACCCAACATCTGGCTGAAGAGGAGTTGCTCCAAATCGCCTAAAACGGTCACCACCAGCTCCGAGTCCACTTTCAGAAAAGTCTTCTTGTCATCGCTGGCCTCTTTCGAAGAATCTTCTGCAGAAGGACCACCAGAGTCCGTCGTTTTACTGAGCGGCTTAACCTCGGCGTAGGGCCCCCGTGGAATTCGGCTAGGTGTCCGCGGCTGAAGCAGAGAGTGTTCCGAGCGGGAAAGAGCTCTAGACATAGCTGGGGACGCCGGGGCCGTGGTAAGGTTCTTGGCGGACGTGGCAGCGGACAAATCATCGCACCAGTCCGGTCCGCAAAGACGAAGCTTCTTCTCGGCATCCGTCAACACGGACAGATTGGTGAGGGAGCGTTGGCGCCTGAGAGGCACTCCGGGCAGGCGGGATTCGTGGACAGCGCTATTGCCGCGAAAGACGCGCAGTTCCGCTGAGCGGCCTGATCCCACCCCCGAGGGGGGCTTCACCTTCCTCTGCATCATCGCACCTCCCCTCCCTGGAGCAAGAGGGAGTAGGGGAGGAGGTAAGGTTATAATAGAGGCATATATTTCTATAGGTATAGGGATACAGGCTACACAGCAGCGAGATAAGAGACCAAGGCAAATTGAGCATGCAAAAAAAAAAGAATGGATAAAATGGCAAATAATGGGATTAAGTTAACAGAATTGACATATCAAAGGTGCAATGCTATAGGAGAAAGGACATGAAGGACACGGGGAGAAGAAGACAGGGGTGGAGGACAGGGTAGTATGAGTGAATGGCAGAGATTAGTGCAGCAGCAAGCCAGAGAATGTATACGAAGGGAAATGAGGTACAATTAGATTAAAAAGCGAATCTAGGACAGACACGGCGTGATTACATAGAGAGCGGAGGAGCTTGGGAAGAAAAACAAAGGAGCGAGGCTAAGGGAAAACGAAGACACAAGGCGCTGCTCTCCTCATGCGGCAATGTCTCCTCAAATCCTCCTTCAGTCAATGCCGAGCCCGGCCGGAGCTCCTCTCTTTGGTAGTAACGGTACTGGAGCACAGGGCACTCCCTCCGCTTTCTGCTTCCTCTACCTCCCGGAGGATGCTGAGAGAGAGAGAGAGGGAGGGGGACAGAGGAAGAGACACAAGGGGAGGGGGGAGACATACACAGACATGGAGGCGGAGGGACACGCCGCAAGAGGTAAGGGAGCCATACATGAAGAAGAAGGAGGAGGAGGAGAGCTGGAAAGGGGGATGGAAAGAAAGAGAAAGTGACAGAGAAGACAGAAAATGGACGTGAACCGTGCATGAGAGCCCCGTGCCTGAAGCAATGTGTATCAGTCCCAATGGGTTATAGTGGGGACATGGCCGTGTGCTTCATGTGTGCTTCATGTGTCAAGGTTAATGCCAGGGTTTCCAGGGACTAGGTTCACATTAAAGACCCCATTCACACTGAGCGATTAGTAGCGCATTTTCCGCTCAAAAATTGCTTAAATATGAAGGTCAATGGAGCTCATCCAATGCATTTGAACACAAGCTATTTTTTGGCGGATCTTGCGCGTCTTGGCCCCAATAGATTTCAATGGTGTAGCTCAATGTCGCTCATTACTGGTGTTTTTGCACAACATTATCAGGGATCCCAACCTGAAAAAAGGAATTTCAGGGAGGTGCCCTTCTAATTTCCAGGACCTCTGACCCCCCCCCCCCCCCCACCGCGCACCGCCACCCCCACAAAAAAAGCTGCCCCTCCCCCCCCCCCCCCCATCCGTGAGAGAGCACCCCCCTGAAATTGTTGCAGATAGTAAAGAAGCTATTGCTTCCTTTGCTATCTGCAGGTTTTTTTTTTGTATTCTGACAGCTGCTGCTGTCAGAATAAAAAAAGAACAGAAACCAGCATAGGAATGAATAGCTAGGTTGCTATTGGCTATTTCAATTTGTAATAGCCAATAGCAAGCTGGCTATTGCACCCACCCTCTGCTGCTGTCAATCAGCAGAGGTGGACCTGATGGAGAACTTCAGGTCCACCTCTGCTGATTGACAGCAGCAGTGGGCGGGTGCAATAGTTAGCCTGCTATTGCAAATATCCAATAGCAATCTAGCTAATCATCTCTATGCTGGTTTTTTTTTTTACTCTAACGACGGCCGGCGACTCCGGTATCAGAATAAAAAAAACAAACAGATTTACAGAATTACACTCGCCACAGAAGCAGGAAACAGGAAGAGGAATTATGTCACATCAAAGAGCGCTTTTGATTAGATACAGCCCAATGAAGCAGCTACAAAGTCCTCGTGGTAAAATGCCAAAAGAAGCGCGTCAAAAACGTAGCGCGTCAAAATGTGCACTGTCGCTCAAAGTCGCTCTGCTCAAATCCGTGCTGAAAAAGCTCTTCTTTTGTTGTAGCTCAGTGTGAATGGGATCTTAAAACGCATATTAAAGGCCCCGGTCACCTCCGTGCGCTTCAAAGTGATTCAACCGTCGCATGATGAGGCTCAGCAACGAAAATCCTGTTATTTGCTATGGAGCCTGTTTACACCTAGGTAACGAGTTTATGTGTGACTTGGAAGATGCTGCAGAAGCTTCTTTCAGGACGTTTTTAGCCCCTGTTCACACCTGTGCAATTTGAAGCGATTTCGCCATCTTGTGATGACACACTACAAACAAAAACTCATTATTTGCTATGGGGCCTATTCATACCTGGATAACTCGCTTTGGTGCGACTTAGAAAATGGTACAGGCTATTCTTTTTTGCATTGTTATCCCTCATTTACATTACTGTCCATGGTAGTCTTCTGCTGTCTTTAATATTGATTGGATCCTGGGCAAATATTTTTTTGGGCCCACCACACCCCGTCCCCTACCTGCCTCTCTCCGCCATGCAATTTTCCTCTAACCCCAGTGGCGGGTTATTCTCTCAAATGGTGACACAGACAGCAATACAATCACAACATTGATAACCCTTCCTACACTACCTAAAACTAAATTATGTTTTTGTTGGTGACATATTTTTTAGGGGGGGTTTCCTACAAATGGGAACATGCACCATACAAGACTTGTGCATGCCATGCAAAAAAAATTGAGCTCGATAAATCGTACATGGTACAGTGCAGGGCTCTTCACCATGTATATTTGTGTGCACACAGTGCCCTGAATAACCATAGGTCCTTCAGGGACCTCTGTTATATAGGTGCATATTGCACACTGACAGCACACACCCAACAATGTGTCACTTGTTCTCCTCCCTCCCCTGTGATCAGGAAGTGATCACTTTGGGGGGAGTGCAGGCACAGAGCTTTCTGCTCGCTCTGGTGACTGACAATCTGGACATTCATTATAGGGAACCTGTTAGCTGCCTCATCTCCTAGGCACATGTAGGAGACAATTTGTCCGGGCTCAATGTCCCTCTGTTAAATGTTTGTACAAACTCTAGTCAGAGGTAGACAGCAAGTTGTGCAGATCTATGCCTGATCAGACCAGGTGCAGATCTGCGGCTGATATCTGTGCTACATTGTATTGCAGTTATTATTTTACAGAGCAGAAACTGTGCCTTTCCTGCAACAAATTGTGATTTGTCATTGTCCAGGTTTTGGCGCACGTTTCCAATGCACATCACATATGCGCCATAAAAAAAAGTAACATAGTAGTCAAGGTTGAATAAAGACCAAGGTCCATCCAGTCGGGTTCACAAGTTCAAGATCAACAGTTTACTGGACCCATTGTTGGGACTTGGAAGTTAAGGCAGCCTCTCAATTGAAGCCTAAGACAAAACCTAGTAGCAACAACCAAAAACACACCCCGCAAAATGCTACACAGTTTAAAAAAATATATTTTATTTGTAACAATCCAAATACACACTAACCCATAAACACACCAAAAACCGTTCCATAGAAAACATCAGTGCCGCATTCTACCGTTATATGATAATGACAAGGTAATATTTCCTCCAAGCTGCACTTTTAATAGAATATTCAATAGTGTCTGCATTAGACCCAGTATACAGAGAGTATATCTCCACCATTGGTCACAAATATATTTATGCTAAGTATGTCAGTGGATCAGTAAACAATGCATTATTAATGCATACAAACAGGACTTTACAATATGGCTGTGCAGTTATAATGTGTGAAAAATTCTGATCTGCATGTGACTCTGGCATATGTGACTAGGACTAGTGACCATGCACATCATCTCAGGGGAGGAAAATGCAATGAATGTATACTTTACTAAGTAAGTACTGGAAGTCCAGTGAAAAAATGTCTTCCTGTGTTTGTCAGGAGCAAAACAGTGATAAAGGTAAATTTTTACTAGGGATGCACTTATACCAATACTATTATCGACAGGCAGTGGCGTCACAAGGGGGGTGCGGGGGGTGCGACCCGCACCCGGGTGACACCATTGAAGGGGTGACAACAAAATGACACAGTCAATTTGGTGTCAGCCCCCTCTGAAACGTCGGGCGCTCGGTCATGGACCAAACGCCCGACAGTATTAGGAGAGAGGAGGGGACCCGGCGGCATACCTTATCCCACCAGGTGACTGTCCCCTCCTCTCTCTGCCGGCGTCCATCACCAATCAGAGTACTGCCGCGCGTGTGCGATGACGTCATCGTGCACGCGCGTGTTGACGTCACGCGCAGTGGCGTCTCGGCGGGGTGACACTCGGTTACCGCTGCGGTTGTCACCCAGCCTCGGGACGCCCCTGTCCACAGGGCTTGAAAAATCCACTCGTCGGTGGAGCCCGACGAGTAGCTTCCTGTCCGGCTGGCCGGGAGCTTTACATTCAAGCGATCGGGAGTCTCTAAATATGCCCGACGCTTGTATTAGCAGCAGCTGTCACTGCCGTTGCCGGTCCCAAGGTCCGCTGTGGCGGTGCGGCTGGGACCGACACGGCTGCTCTTTCACAGGAGATCAGCACACGATCTCCCTCCTAGCTCCTCTCCAGTCAGGGCTAAATTTAGAAAAAACTAGCATCCCAGTGCCCGGAACTTCGTGTCCGGGGCATTGGGTGATAGGTGTTCCACACCCCTGTAAAAGCAGGAAATATATTACTGAATTGTCAATTACAGCTGAAGTCTTTACAGTTGTTTTTGGCTAGCTATAATTAATGCAACTTTACCCTACAATAAAAGTGGTTTACAAGAACTCTGGATATCTATACCAGTGTTTTTCAATCCCTTTTGAATCAAGGCACCTTTTAAAAGTATGCGACATCTTGAGGCACCCCAGTGTAAAATGTAAAAAATATGTGGTTCCCCCCTGCCAAAAAAAAAAAAAAATCAATGGCAAACCCTTATCCTAGACACAAGTCTATGAATTTTAAGGGGGACCCCAAACAAAACAAAAAAGGCAATGTGGAGTTTCCTGCTTTTACATCAGAAGCACTCACATCACAGTCTCTCCCTTTCGCATCAGAGTTCCCCCTTCATATAAGTGTCCCCCCTCTTCACATCAGAGGCCCCTGCCCTTCACAGCAAAGTCCCCCCTTCACATCATAAGCCCCCCTCTTCACATCGGAGTCCCCCCTTTAGCAAAAACTAGGAGCACACCCTGGTTGAGAAAAGCTGGTCCATAACATTTGGGATGCTTAAAGGATTTATTCTTGATATGTTGCATACCTGAATATGTCGAATCCTCCTGCTTCACAGTACTCAGACCAGGGGACTTCTATGTCCCTTTATGTCCCTGATGTTCCCCTCCCTTACCCGGCCTTTCTTCCCCCCCTTGACCCCCGACCATCCACCTCTCAGATATTGCATGTGAGGTGATTTGTTTATATGTCTGTACATGATATTGTTCCCTTGTCATTTGTCATATATTGAAAAACTTTAATAAACATTTAATATGAGTAAAGGATTTATTCTTTATGCATGTACTAAGGTGAGTAGGACATCCATCTTTCTTTTCTCATACACATCATGTTCCACTGGTGACATCTGATTTCTTTTGTGATTTACACACATGCCGAATAAAAGACACTCCACGCTAATTTTTCTTTTTATATCATATTGCATTATTGTCATGAAAAATACCTTTGCAATATAAAAATACACCCTGCCGTTTTTGCACTTGATGGTCTTAAGCTGGCCATACAGTGGT